AAGAAACAGAGCAAGAAAAACAGAGCAACCAAACAAAGCAAGAAGCCAAAGAAACAGAGCAAGAAAAACAGAGCGAAACCTAAAACCTACGTTCTTCGAGGAACCCAAGAACCCAGAACTGGGTTCTTCACGAAACCCAGATCTGGGTTCCTCACGAAACCCAAGAACCCAAAACTAAGTTCCTCAAGGAACTGGGTTCCTCAAGAAACCTAGCACCAGGTTAGGTTCCGCCACCCAACACTGGGTTGGGTTCCTCGCGGAACCCATCTGGGTTTCGCGAAGAACCAAGATGAACAGGCGAAGACCAGATCTGGGCGACGGTCGCCAGATCTGGGAATTCCAGCGTGTAGCTCGGTAGATTTGCGTGAGGGAGCACGGAGCCGCGAGACCTGCAAGCAAGTGGGCAACACACAGAAACAGGAAACAAAGAAAACAAACAGAAAAAAAAACCCAAAAAAGGCACCCGAAGGGCCTAGTCGTCGAGAGACCTCATAGGGTCATCGGAGCAGGGAACAGGCCGGCTCCATCGGGCTTGAGCAGCTGGAGAACCCGGCGGCTCAAGCAGCAAAACTCGGAAGCCCAAGGCTTTCGAGCACAAAAAAAGGGGATGCCGGAGAAGACGATCAGAAGCAGGAGAACTCAGATCTGGAGAGGAAGAAAAAGAGGGGAAGAGAGGAGATAGAGAAAGAATAAGAAAAGTTAAAAAAAGTCACGTGGGCCCCATTAAAAGGGAAAGTTAAAAAGGTGATAATATGATGTGTAAAAAAATATACCACGTGTAAAAAAAAAAAAATGCCATGGTAACAAAATTTTCATAGTTGGATTTACACATCATTAAAAATGAAAAAAGCCAGTGATTTTGTGGCATTTTAACGAGCCACCTGGCGTTTAACTGACGGAAGGACTATTTTGGTACCAAAAATGAAAGTTTGAGGATAATTTTGATACTTTTTAAAGCTGAGGGACAATTTTGGTACCAAAGTGATAAGTTGAGGGACTAAAATGGTACTTAAACCGCTGATTTTTGAATGAAGTTGAGCCATTTTATGGACTGTTGAGATGAGTTTGTAAATGGACCGGGGCTTCAAGGTTTTTGAATATAAGTTAACCCACAACTTTTAATTACTTCAATTAAGTCCTTGAATTCCCTTTTGAATCTTTTCACAAAATTTTCTTTTTGCATGTTGAACCCAAAACAAAAGTAAAGTATATTAGTTAAGAAAAGGAAAAAAGAGAAAAATTCATATATATATATATATAACTTTTTTTTTTATTTTTTTTTACATTTTGTAATTTTTTATTTATTTTATTTTATTTTTTAAATTTTTTTAAGGAAAAGTCTAAATGAATTGAATAAAAAATCGAGTTATGACAAAGACATCTTATAGTTCTTGGAACTCCATAGCAAAATGGAGTAGCAAAGCACATGACTAAGACTATCATGGAGAGGGTTAGATATATGTTATCTCACTCCAAACTTGGCCAAGAATTGTGGGCTAAAGTAGCTTTTAGAGTAGCTTATTTGGTGAACAAATTTCCCTATGCACCTATTGGTTTCAAGACACCAAATGAGGTATACACTGGTTCTATCGCTGATTGTTCTAATTTACATGTGTTTGGTGCACCTTGTTATGTACATGTAAATGATGGGAAGTTAGAACCTAGGTCTAAGGAGTGTTTCTTCTTGGGTTGTCCTTTGGGTGTTAAGGGAAACAAGGTCTGGGACCCTATGATCTGAAGAGCATTTATTTCCTGTGATGTTATTTTTGATGAAAATGCTGTACTTAACTCCAAGGTAGAGAATGAAGTATTGATGAAGGTGCAAGTATGGAGAAGGGTTCAAAATTGAAGGTGAAATTTCAACTAAACCTTGAATCTCCTAAGATGTCTAGTTCTCTCTTCCTCCACAAGCTCAAGGTGGAGTAAAAGGCCATGATGATGATATAGTCGGCTACAAACAAGGAGAGGAAGAAGAAAAAATTCACAAGAGGAGCCTTACTCCATAGCAAAGCATAGACCAAGGAGAGAGATCTACAAGCCACAAAGATATACTAATATGGCTAGTGAATTCTTGAGTGATTATGCTTTGGTGATGTCACAAGAAACCAATTGTGATGATGAGCCTTCTACGTACAAGGATGTGGTGTCTTGTAAAAATTCTTTCAAGTGGTTGATAGTCATGCAAGAAGTGGAGTCACTTCATAAGAACCACACATGGGAGTTGGTTAAACCACCTCCAAGAAAAGAGATAATTGGTTGCAAATGGATCTTCAAGCGAAAGGAATGTATTCTAGGTGTTGAAGATGCAAGGTACAAGGCACGTTTGGTGGCAAAGGGCTATAGCCAAGTAAGAGGTGTTGATTTCAAGCATACTTCCATTCTTGTCTTGCTTGTATTAGTAGCCATGCATGATTTAGAGCTTGAGCAATTGGAAGTCAAAACAACTTTTTTGCATGGTGAACTTGAAAAGAGTATTTTACATGGAGCAACCAAAAGGTTTTGTAGTAGAGGGAAAGAATGATCATGTTTGCTTTTTGAAGAAATCTTTTTATGACCTAAAATAGTCTCTGAGGCAATGGTATAAGAGATTTGATTCTTTTATAGTGCGTTATTGTTATGATAGAAGCATGTATGATCAATGTGTCTACCTTAGGAAGCTTGATGATGACACTTTTATCTATTTGTTACTTTATGTTGATGACATGTTGATTGCTGCCAAGAAGAAGGAAGACATTGATAAGTTGAAAAAGGAGTTAAGTAGTGAGTTTGAAATGAAGGATTTGGGTCAAGCAAAAAGGATCCTTGGTATGGAGATACATAAGGATAAGCATGGTGGAACAGTTAAACTTTCACAAAAGAAATTTGTTAAAAAAGTTCTTGAATGTTTCAACATGAAGAATGCCAAACTTGTGATTACCCCTTTGGCATCTCATTTTAAATTGTCAACTCAATTATGTCCTTAGTCATATGAAGATCTTGAGTACATGTCTTACGTTCCATATTCTAGTGTAGTGAGTAGCATGATGTATGCTATGTTTTGTACTTGACCAAATATTTCACATGCAGTTAGTGTTGGGAACAGGTATAAGTCTAATCTTGATAAGGAACATTAGAGAGTGGTGAAGAAGGCCTAGAGATATTTGAAAGGCACCACGAGAACTAGTCTTGGGTTCAAGAGAGATAGGACATGTCTGCAAGCAAGGCTATGTTGATTCAGACTATGCTAGTGATCTTGACAAGAGGAGGTCTTTAACAGGATATGTTTTGACACTTGGTGGTAGTGTTATCAACTAGAAAGTTGTTTTGTAAGGTACGGTAGCCTTGTCTACTACTAAAGCAAAGTACATTGCAATGACTGAGGCTTTTAAGAAGGCAATATGGTTGAGAGGACTTATTGGGGAGCTTAGCTTGGATTGTGTTGTTATTAATGCATTATGATAGCCAAAGTGCTATATGTTTGGCTAAGGATTCCATGTTTCATGAGAGAACAAAGCACATTTCTGTGAGATATCATTTTGTTTGGGATATAGTCTCCTTTGGTGAGATTATTGTGAAGAAGATTGATATCAAAAACAATCCAGTAGATATGTTGACAAAGTCCCTTTTGGTGTGCAAGTTCAAGCATTGCTTGGACTTGCTTGGCATGATGTTGTAAGAGCCCTTTGGGGCATGGGGAAGGATTGAGCTAGGATAAATTTGCTATAGGAGGTTTGATGGATTTCAAGTCAAGGTGGAGATTTGTGAGGTATGCCTTGAAATTATGTTTAAGCTTTGGAAGTTGGTAGCAAGATTAAGGAACCGACCATGAAGGTTCTTAAATCTGGTAGCATAACAGAAAATCTAGGCTTGAAAAGCTCCAATATGCTTAAATGATGTGCATATTGGACTTTTTGCAAAATTATCAAATTACCAAATTACCCTTTTGTACTCCTATAAGTATAAAGGAGCCTTTTTTAAGGGCATAGTGGGGTGAGAGTTAGATGCCATTAGCCACCTTAAGAGGAAACAAGGTGGTCCTTTTAGGAGCCAAGGGCTTTTCTTGGGTAAAGTGAGCTTAGGTGTACTGGGGACTCTTACTAGGGTGTGGTTTGCGTGATTTAGGCTATATTCATCTCTCCACTTTCAATGATTGAGATTTATTCATTGAGATTTATTCATATTTATTAAAAAATAATTACCTTTTTCAACTAAAAAGTCATAATAAATCTCAATAATTAAAAGTAAAGAAATGAATAATTGAAATTTTATGTAATTGTAGTATGTAAGACTTGTATATCAGTGAATCTCTACTCTTTTCTTTTTTTGTCTGTATTCTTTGTTAGCTTATTAAGGTATTAATTTATTTGTAGCTTAATATATTTATAAAAAATTATATATAGTAATTAATACTTTTGTTATTTTGTTTGATTTGTATGTAATTTTTAATTAATAAAGTAAAAAATTCAAGTTTGGTAAAATAACTAATTAAACATTAATTAACTTAAGTCATTTAATTTAAATGTATTATGTTAAAATTTATTAAAGTGTTTCTAAATAATAAATATTTATTAAATTGTTTTAATTTTTTTATATGTATAATTAATGAAATTGTATTTAAGATATTAAGAGATTTAATATTTAATAATTATAAAAAAATAAATTTTATATCTAAATACAGTTACTATAAAATTAATGTAATGTATTTTTTATTATAAAAGCAAAAATAAGAAATATATATTTAGAATATTTGTAGATATAATTTTTTTTTATCATGAATTTTGATGCATCACCAATAAAAGTATGTTGCTGAAAAGGAGTTATGCTATTCATTCCACTATGAGCAACAAGGAAGATGTTGCTGATAATGGCTATTATCACTAACATAGTTCTTTTTGTTGAAAATTCAAAATCAGCAACAAGAGTTATGTTGCTGATAATTAGAGGGTCACACTTCCCTGAACCTTTAGCAACAAAAACCATATTGGTGAAACCATGCAATCAACAACAAGGTATATGTTGCTGAAAAACAATTGAGCACACATCCCCTCCAACTTTTAGCAACATGGCTTATGTTGCTGAAACTACCCCAAGGAGCCCACCAGAGATGATGGCCGAAAATTGGCAAAATTTTCAACAACATAAGTCATGTTGCTAAAATCTTGTTTTCAGCAACATGGCTTATGTTGCTAAAACTACCCCATCGGAGATGATGGCCAAAAATTGGCAAAATTTTTAACAACATAAGCTACGTCATTGAAAATATTCAAAATATTCAATAGAATCCCCACCAAAATTTGGTAAAATTTTTAACAACATGAGGCATGTTGCTGAAACTATATTTTCAGCAATGTGCCTCATGTTGCTGATACATCACCAACAAAATTCTTGTTGCTAATGTATCACCCATCAAAGCATTTCCAACAAAGTTTTTAGCAACTAGAGGTATATATGTTGCTGAAGGAGTTTCAGCACATGTGAACCATTTTCAGCAACATGAAAGCATGTTGCTGGAAATAGGAAATTTAGTAGTAATGCTAACTGCTAGAAAAATAAAAAATTCAACTTATCCTCTCTCTACCAATTCTCTCTTTCTACAAAACCTCCATTCACATTCAATTCATTTTCAATGGCTCCAAAACACCCTCACCATCACCAAGACTTCACCTTTTCCACTTTCCTTGCCCGTTTTCCTTTATCTGGGCTACTATCAAGCTTGCATCCATCATAAAGTCAAGAGGATGCTTGGAGGTAGTCCAATACATCCTAAATTTTTAACTACATTTTTTTTCCTTTTAAAGTCAAAATACACCCCAACAACTTGTAAAGCGGGTTGGAAAACACTAGTATTGGGTAAAGAAGAAATTAACTGTGCAGAGAGGAATGAGAGAAAAGGAAATTTCACAATAGTTTAATCTATTTTTTTTTAATTACAACTTGTTATGTACTCAATTTTGAATAATGTAAACCCGGTTATAAATATACTACCTATTTTTTATAACTTCTCTCGAAAATGACAAAAGTTGGACAACAGCTTGCAAAAGATAACTCTCGAACCTATTAAAGAAAAATAACGTTAGATCTACGTCTACAAATGAGTGGTGGTTTTCCATGTCCATTAAGATATGTAAATTCATCGATCTGATAATAAATAATTAATCTACCCTTTTGATTTTAAAATGATATCTAAAATATATGTATTAGACTTGTCACCCCAGCCTCCCCTATGGGTTGGCTGCTTCATAATCGCGCGGAAATTGAAGTAAACAGATGACTGGAAGGTCCAAATTCTATAATACATATGGAGTTATGGACGACGAGATATAGATATCCTTGATATTTTTTATTATCTTCCGGTGAATTCTACTTAATTATAATTTTTTTTATATTGAGAAATTCATTTATGTATAAATGTTATAAATTATATTTATATAAAATCTTAATTATTTATTTTATTATTATTAGTAGTTGAAATTTATTTATATTTATTAAAAATTATTATTATCTTTATTTAAAAAATTATAATAAATCTCAATTATTAAAAGTGAAAAGATAAATAACAAAAATTTTATCTTTTTTTATCACATAATTATGATAAATTTTGTGCTAAGATATCCAAACAAGATTCTAAAGTTTAAAAACTTTAAATTCGCAGTCTCGCGTGCTCATTCGCTAACACAAACTTCTTATAAAGGGGCCTTTCCCAACTCATATTCTTACTACAATCTCTTGAGAAAACATTGCAAGAAGCACGATCAGCCATCCCTCTTCTTCGTCGTTAACAAACCCAGTATATACTGAGGAAGGACATGAACCCCAGTTCTAAGAGGCAAATGCCAAATAATCAAAGAATTCAATTTCTTGTTCTGCTTTTATTTTCCAGCTTTGTTATCCTAACAACCTCCCAACATGATCAACTCAAGTGCAAACAAAAACATGCTGCCATGTTTGTGTTTGGAGATTCACTCTTTGATCCTGGAAACAATAACTTCCTAAATATCAGCGCTACCCAAGGCAAGGCAAACTATCCACCCTACGGGGAGACCTTTTTCCACTATCCTACAGGAAGATTTAGCGACGGCCGCTTAATCCCTGATTTCTTCGGTGAGTTCAGCCTCAAAATGTTTTCTCCTTTTGAAAGTTGATTTTCCGATGGTCACCTTACCATGTCTTTTAATTCCCATGCATGTCCTTCGCAGCCTCGTTTGCAGGTTTACCATTATGGAGACCTTATTTAGATCCTGCTAATCATAATTTTGTTGTTGGAGCAAACTTCGCCAGTGCTGGAGCTTGTGTGCTTGTAGAAAATAACCCTAATACGGTATTTCATCGATCCATTAATAATAAGCTGAATTGCTATATCTTTATAAAGTGTTTTCAAAAGCTGATGACGAGTCAAATGTAGTTTTTCTTTATGAAAAATGCATCTTGTTAAGATATTAAGGGGAAAAAAAAATATCTTAACACTTCTGATTCTCCTAAAAGTTGTTTTCAATTCTAAAGGGCTAGAAACTGAAGTAGTAAACCATTACTTCTGGTATAGATCTTTTGGTGTTAATTAAGCTTCTGTGAATTTGATATGATTTTTTACCATGGTATATATGGACCTCAATTAGCATCGCTAATATGAATTTTTTGCAGCTCAACCTACAAATACAACTAGGCTTCTTCAAGGAGGTGGTAAATTTGTTGACACAGCAGTTGGGTGATACAGACACCAAGAAGCTGTTAAGGGAAGCCACCTACATTTCTAGCATAGGGGGTGTGGATTACATGATATTTGTCAATTCTTCCTCTAATATTACTGAACCAGCGATGCAAGAGTATGTTAATATTGTGATTGGCAATATAACAGAAGCAACAAAGGTATGTATGCATTAATGAAACCAACAAATATATACATATATATATATATAACACAATCTGACTTTTTTTAAAAAAAAATGTAGTATGATTCATTTTTTCCATTTTTATTGGGTGTGCAGGAAATATATGAACTAGGTGGAAGGAAATTTGCGTTTCAAAATGTTGGACCTTTAGGTTGTTATCCACATATGAAAGCGGAGTTTAACTCCACCGGTGAATGTGTCCAATTTCTCCAAATTCTAGCAACCATGCACAACAATGCTCTAGCAAAAGTTGCTGAGGAATTAGAAATCAATCTATCTGGATTTAAGTATTTAATGTTTGATTTCTTCACTTCACTCATGGATAGAGCTAATAACCCCACAAAACACGGTATAATTGTTGCAGAGATTCAATTCGTTTTTTTTTTTTTTTTGGGATAGGTAAAGATAAGCTTTTATTGTGAAGAGTACAAGCAGTGCTCTAAACACATTAACATCATAACAGAGATTCAAATCTATGTTTACTGCATTCTTCTCTTAAAATTTTTTTCTTGATGATATATATGTGTTTTGATAGGTTTCAAGGTGGGTGACAATGCATGTTGTGGGGGTGGAGTATACCACGCTCAAAATGGTTGTGGATTCTTAACAGAAGAATACGAACTTTGCAGTGACCCTAATGAATTTGTGTTTTGGGATGCTTATCATCCTACTGAACACTGCTACTCTCAATTAGTTGAGTTGTTGTGGAATGGAACAGGAAATGTTACTTGGCCTCTTAACATGAAGCAACTATACGATCTGGATATTGACACCGAAGTTTCTTCTCAAAACATTGATCTTTTAGATGATGCATAAATTTAAAAAAATGTTTGGTTTATGCTCGGTTCAATATATTTTCTGATACTTGTGCAATTTAACTATTAAAATATAAGTATAACATGATTTAGCTGGTTCCTATATTTTGTATGCATTGTAACATCTTTAAATTTATTTGTCTTTAATTTTGTTTGTCTTTAATTTCAAACCAAAAAACAATGCTTTTTTAATGTGTGTTATATGCGTTGTATTGAATCAAAATGTGTACCAATCAATATTTATAAATTTGACATCATGTAGATCTTTATCATTGCTTTTTCTTCATGGAGAAGAAAAATCCTTAAGATAATATAGTTAAGGAAAATGATATGTGCACACCCCCGGGTGTGCACACATCATATAAAAAAAAAAAATGCCCATCACCCGGTCCAATTTTTTTTTTTTTTTTTATGTGGGGGGTGTACACCTGGGTGTTGGATCCGAGTGTGCATCAATCATTGTCCTATAGTTAAATGGAATAAAGATTATGCAAATGGTGGAATGTTGTGTTCATGTTTACCTTTATTATTAAGTGTGTGTTTGGTGGAGTTGCTAAGAAGTCCTCAATTTTAGAATCACAAGTTGTGCCAAATACTCATTTTATGAGTGCAAGGTCCAATGCATGAAAGTTGTTTTGAGCTTTTAACAAGTCAAAAATGGAGAATTAAAGAATTCGTGCTTTTCAGTGAGCCTCTCCACATCTTCAATGAAAACTATTATCTTCCTATTTTGCTCATCATTCCTTCACATATTTACAACTAAAACTCCTATATATACACCACAAATTATAACAAATCCCTAACTCCACAACGTTACTCGCCCCTTCTTCCCCTTTGTCGGTTTGGAATAAGAAATCAATTGGATTGTCATGGAGAACAACAACAGCACTAGCAATTGGAATGGGAAATCAACGTTTGGAGATGGAGCCAAAACCACAAATGAACAAGAAGAAAACTATAATGTTTATTACGATGACAATCATTTGAATATTGAAAGTGAGGAAGAGGAAAAGGAAGATGAAGAAGAAGAGGAAGAGGAAGGGAAGCATGAACGGGAAGAGGCTCTGCGTCAATCCTTGTCAAGATCTCCTTTTACTAATCGGTATCAGAGCTTCTTTCCTCTTGACCTATGGTACCAATTTCATCAAAATCCCCAAATTCAATTTCTCACACCTTTGTCTATCTTATAAACCCTACAAACTTGAATCAAGATTCATCAACATTGAAGCCATGGCCAAAGATACAAATTTTCAAGAACTATAAAGAGAGTTCTTAGAATTTCAGAGAAAACATGATGCTGATTTTGCAAATTTGGAGGAGAGGTTGTCATCCATGGAGAATGCTCTAAGGACAATCATAAGGAATGGTCTGAAGGATGGGATTGCCATGATACAAGCAATCAATGACTGATGGAACTCACCAACATTGGAGGTCGGCTAAACATCCCAAACCTAGAGTCATACAACTTAGGGCCAAACTCACAATCAAGATTGCAATGCAAGGGATTCTAGTACTTTTAATTCTATATTTGATCTTGAATGCATGACTATAATTGGAGAAATTGAGTTGCCTTTGGTACCCACCTTGGTTCCTATTACCCAAAATTTTGATCTTGAAACAAAACCTTATTTGGATTAGGAACTTGAAGTTATAAACCATAGTGCACAATTGGGCCTAAGTAAAGAAATTGATGAGATGAAACCTGAGCAATTATATTCTTTGAGGAGTAAGAAAAATGAACTAGTGTTTGAAGAAGAAAAAAATGAAAACTCAAGAACCTGAGGAAAAGGAGTCTAAATCGTACGTTGAAGAACCTGAGGAAAAGGAGTCTAAATTGTATGTGGAACATCTTATGGAATTGAAATATAGGATTCTGGTTGTTAACTTAGTTGAAATGATTGAAGATGGTATATCTGCATTGGAAGCCAAGTTATTCGATGTTGATGGTTGTGTGAGATTGATCAATTATGTGGTGTGGGATTATAAGAAGCACAAGAAGATGTTATAGGTTGTGGAATGCTTCTTAGTAATTTCAAAAAAGATTTAATGGAATTTTAGAAAACATAAGTAAAAATGGGAGTTTTTTTGTGGCACCTGTCCCTTGAGGACAAAGACATCTTCAAAGGGGTAGAAGTACATCTATGGTTTAAGTATTGCAAATGTAGCAAAGACAAGCTATTGAAAGAGGGAGAACTTATGTATTCAAAGCTACAATTGAAGTTGAAGTCACAATTCCTTGAGCAATATTTCTTCTCACAGTTTAGTTCCTGGGAATTTTTCAAAGTTCTTTTCCATGTGTTTGGCTTGAGAAGGATTAAGTTGTTGAATTTCTTAATGATGAAACCACTTGTTGATGGAGTTTGTTCTTAGTCAAGAAGTTGGGTTCAACTTGTGTGAATGAAGATGTGTTTGGTTGTTATGCAAAGTGGCTATGGCCATTTACCTCTCTCTTGGTTAGATACTAATGCAGGGGAAAAGAGATGCATCCATGAAATGCTTTGCATAGTTGTTGGAATTTTAGTGATGTGCTCTCTGATAGAAGAAATATGGATGTTGCCAGTTTGGGCAGAGTTGTACATGGATATATAAGTTGACATAAGTTCTAAATTTCAACCTCTCAACCTTGAGGACAAGGTTGTCAAAGGGAGAGTGCATTGATGCATACCCAGATATGCTATGATATAAAAGGTCAAGATGATTATTTGGCATAATTTTTAATTTTATTGTCTTATTTATGTGACTTAAATATAGCATATTTCATCTTCTAATATTAAAATATAAGCATTTATCTAGTAGTTATGTTTTAAAATATGAAGAATCAATTTTTAATCATCAATCTTAAAATAATTTAAGAAAATTAAAGTTCTATAAAAATATAAACTAAAAAATGGAGAGGGAGTGGTGCTTAGTAAATAGAAAATATCTAATTTAATCATTTTAGTATTATATTAAATTAAAAAATCTTTTAAAAAAAAATTTATCAAACAACTTTTCAATCCGGAAGTACTTTTGTAAAAAATTTTATCAAACACCTTTTACTTCTCAAAAACAAAACTTCTATAATAAATTCTTTCAAACAAAACTTCTATCAAGAGCTTTAACCACACTAAACAAGCTCTAAATTGAATGAAATAAGGTATGGAGATATTTCACATTTTATTTATTTATTTCATGAGATTTTAGTCTCATTTCTCAAATTTCAAATTTTACTTTTTATTTATCTAATAATGAGTTATATAAGAATAACACTAATAAGAGTTTGACCGATTTAGTACCTATTAACTTAAAAAGTTTATTTGGGTTAAAAGTTAGAGGTTCAATTCAACCCTCTCTAATGCTAAATAGCTAACCTTTTGACATATCAAGAAAAAAATTTCAAAAAAGGAATAACCCTTCAATATTCAAAATTCTCTCCACTTAACTCAAATTTGAATTTAAAATCTCCAAATTAAAATTTTATGCTCAAAAACATTTAATTTGATGTTTCAAACGCTTATTCACTGAGAGACCTTGTGGGCCTTTCCAACTTAATTAGTCGTAGCATATGAGTACAATCTCTTGAGTCTTGAGTAAACATAAACGAGAATTGCAATACCTCGATCATTTCAGTGGTGGATCCATGGTTTTATGTCAGGAGGCCAATTTTAGTGCTACAAAAGATGAAAATCAGATAACTAAACCTCGATTTGACTTGTAAATGCCAAAGAAAATGAATTTTGTAAGAATTGTGACTTATAAATAAAATTGAGATTCCTATCTATGAAAATCAGAATTATCTGCTTAATTTAAGTATATAAAAATTGCTTAAATGAGTATAAAAAATAATAATAAAGAAGGGATTTATTCATATATAAGTTTTATACATTATACTTACATAAAATTTCAACTATTCATCTCTTTAATTTTAACAATTACAATTTATTATGACTCTTTAAGTGAAAAAAAAAATTATTTTTAATAAATATAAATAAATTTCAATAATTAAGAGTGGAGAGATTAATAATTGAGATTTTGTATAAATGTAATGTGTAAAATTTGTGTGTAAATGAATCTATACTCATAATAATAAAAAGTGCTTAAACAAAGATATTCACAAAAGTAAAAGTTAAATAATTTATCTACCTTCCAATTTAATACATCTTTTGACACATGTTTAGTTCAGCTATTAAAATGTAATATAAATACATTTGATTTATGCATCCTATATACATAACTATATTTTTAAATTTATTTGTTTTTAATTTTATATAAAAAAATAATAATTTTTTAATAAATGTGTTATGTAGTGTATTAAATAAAAAAATATACCAATCAATATCCATTTAGTTAAGGTAGGTGGTGACCAAATAGAATTTGTTATTGATTTATTATAAATGAAAATATAAATTTATCCAAAATAGTTGTCAAAAGAATGAGAAAAAATTCTCAGTCCATTAAATTTTATCAAAGAAAATTGATAAAATGAAACAAAAATATAAAAGAAACTTAAAAAAGATGGTGTCAAAATACTATCCTACGGTGCCAACTATCAGCTAAAACATACTTTTAGCTTTTTAGCCTTTTATCTTAATAAGTTATAGGTTTTAGTCCTTCATTATGACACTTTTAACCCCTCATTTTAATAAATTTATAGGTTTAACCCCCTCACCTTATACTATGACACTTTTAAACTCTTACATTATATTATGATACATTATGATACTTTTAACCCCTCACATATATGAATTGAAGAATATAACATTTATTCAAGGTCAGTTTATAACATTCTATTAGTTCTATTAGCTGACTGTTAACGTTTTATTAGCATTCTGTTAACAGAACTAACAAATAAAATTGAATTTAAATTTTATATTTCCATAATGAAATGTTGACGGATACTAACAATCAGTTAACAGAGTTAACAGTCAGCTAACAGAGCTAACAGTCAATTACCAGATCTAACAGAATATTATAACATGATGTTAAATGAAAGTTAATTTCTTTAATTTGTACAAGTGAGGGACTAAAAGTGTTATAATATAAAATAAATTGTTAAAATCTACAAATTTATTAAGGTTAAAAGAGTAAAAGTGTCATAATAGATAAAGTTGAAGGGCTAAAACTTATAAACTTATTAAGGTAAAAAATTAAAAATAAACTTTTACCGCCTACTATCAGAGCAACATTGCAAGAGAAATTAAAGGAAAGTCATTTTCCATTAAAGTACTTTTTTATTTTTTTGTTACGTATAATGATTCTTCCTTTAGGCGTTGACTTTTCCCTTAGTATTTAAAATTGGAACAATAAATGAGTTATCTCAAAAATCCATTACGCCTTTACAGAAGTTCGGCAGTGCTACTCAACAAAAAGTGAGAAAGAATTTAAGAAACTTAAGACTTTAAATGAAAATTAGGATGAAAAATTTAGGAGTATAATTAGGACATATTTTGCTTTAATATATT